TGTGTTCCCAGGTGGAATACTGCCCCTGTGTGATCGCCAACGACTGCTGGAACCTGCTGATGGAGTTCATGCAGAGCTTCATGGGCAGCCACACGCCCGGCATCCCGTCGGTGTTCGGCTCCAAGCACGACAGCGCCTACAGCCCCGGGGACACCATGGTGCAGTACATGGAGCTCTTCAACAAGATCCGCAAGCAGCAGCAGGTGCCCGTGGCTGGCATCAGGTGAGGAGGAGCCCCTGCAGCTCCTGACTTCAGCCTCATCCTGCCTGCACCACCAGCTCCTCCAAAATCTGCCCCAGGAGCTGCTCCTTCTGGATTTTCCCCCCGTTTCAAACTGTGCAGTTCTGGGTGTCCTCCGTGGTTTGGGTTGGTCCAGTGGTTCTGTGGTTTTTTGGACAGTGAAAGGAGAAATTGCAGAAAAATACATTCTTAAATTTCTATTTTTTTTTATGTCCACGTCGGTGTTTTGTTGTATTTCATCCCGATAAAAGGATGGGTTTTGGGAGGAGGAGTTGTCCCTGCACAGTGTGGGTTGTGCTGGTTTGTGTTGTTTATTTCCAGTCTTCCCTTTGGATTTACTTCAAGAACTTTATGCCCCTTTATGTTTGGTGCAGGGAAAATTCAGAAATTTCAGAAAGTTACAGACATCTCTTAAATTTCGATTTTTTTATATCCACATCGGTGTTCATCCCAATAAAAGGATGGATTTTGGGAGGAGTTGTCCCTGCAGTGAGAGTTGTGTTGTAAATTCCCAGTCTTCCCTTGGATTTGCTTTATGCTCCCACAGCAAATATTTCCCTGTGAAAAAAAATCCAGGAATTCCTTAATTTTCCTCTTCCTGGCATGTTCTTACCTTGCCTTCTTCTGTAGGTGATGGAAATATCAAAATCTGCTGCCTCCCTTGGATCCATTGGTTCTGTGGTTTTGTGGACAGTGTTTGGACAGTGAGAGGAGAAATTCCAGAAAATTACAGACATCTCTTGAATTTCTATTATTTTTTTATATCCACGTCGGTGTTTTGTTGTATTTCATCCCAATAAAAGGATGGGTTTTGGGAGGAGGAGTTGTCCCTGCACAGTGAGGGTTGTGCTGTAAATTTCCAATCTTCTTTGGATTTAATAAATTTAATCAGCACAAGGCCCAGAAAGAGATGGTTCATGAGCCATAAAAAATGGCACAATGTCCCCTAAGTGAGGTAAAAATTCCAACATGCTGAATACACTGAATTTTTTGCAGCTCTTAGCCCCAAGTTCATGACTGTTCAGTGGTGAAAATTCACTGTCCTGAACTGGGAGAACTTTAAGAAACAAACTGGGATTTTTAGGGATTGTTATCCCTGTCCTGTTTCCCATTACAAACCTTAAAGTTTAAAATAAAAAAATGCCTGTTAATGAGCAGATTAGTCATGGTGAATGTCGGGAATGCTTTGTTAATTCCGTAACCAGAGATGTCAAAACTCTGCTCGTGTGCCTCAAAAACATGGAAGTGTGTGCTGGGATCCCTGGGGATTCCTGGGATTTTATGAATTCATTGTGCTGCTCCTGGCGCAGCTCCTTTCACTCCCTTGATGGCCAAAATTACTCTTTTTCCCTGAAAAAAATCCTCATTTTTGCTGTCAAATCCCAGTTTGGGAAGGTTGGTTGTTTTCTCAGAGGTAGAGGTGAGATCCTGCTCCATCATGGATCTTTTTTTTTCCCTGCTTCTGCACCTCTCAAAATCTCTGTCAGTGTTGTTCCATTCCCTAAATTCATTCCCAAGAGGGATTTTTAAAAAATATTTTTATTTATTTATTTATTTATACAGGTGATGTTATCAGGGTCACGAGTGCTTCACTGGCAGAGCCTGTCCCAAGTGTCACTGCCACCAGAGTTTGGGTTTTTTTGGGGTGTCCCCTCACCACCTCAGGGACCCTTTAGGGTGTCTCCTCCCCAGAAGGAAGACCCCTGAGGGTCTTCATCACNGTTGTTCCCAGCCAGAGGAATTTCCTGGGTTCCCACAAAATTCCTGCCTTAAAGCAGCTCCTCTTCCTGCCTCTCGTCCTTGCTTTAATTCTGCATCCTTACGTGTTTGTTATGGCATCCACTCAGGGAACAGCTTGGGTTTTCTGATGGAAATTTATAGGGGAAAAGAAATCCTCGGCAGCACCGGGATAAAACATCAGCACGGCTCGGGGTGAGGTGAAAGGAGAACTCCAGGAGCTCCCACTGCCTAGAGGGAGCTGGGCTCGGCCTCTCTCCACGTTCCAGCTGCCAAAAAAGCAGGAAAAGCTGCTCTGGAACATTGCAATGGGTCTGGCTGGGAACAGCGGCTCAGCAGAGCCAGGGCTGTGAACACATCAGTGCCTGGAAGGGATGTGGGGACCCAGGAGAGGAGGGACAAGGGAAAAGGGAAAAAAGGAGGGGAAGACGGTTTGGGTATCTCGGGGTCGTTCTGAGCAGCAGAGAATCCGAGAGAATTCGTTTTTCCAGCCCGAGAGGCAGGAGCAGGAGCTGCTTTAGGGCAGGAGTTTGTTTTCCCAGCCCTCGCTGTCATTGCAGGGCAGACAGGGAAGCTCATGTACGTCATGCACAACTCCGAGTACCCGCTGAGCTGCTTCGCCCTCTTCGAGAACGGGCCCTGCCTGGTGGCCGATGCCAACTTTGACACCCTCATGGTGAAGCTCAAGGGCTTCTTCCAGAACGCCAAGGCCAACAAGATCGAGAGCCGCGGCACCCGCTACCAGTACTGCGACTTCCTGGTGAAGCTGGGCACGGTCACCATGGGCCCCAGCGCCAGGGGCATCTCCGTGGAGGTGAGAGATCTCTGGGAAGGGTGGGCAATTCATGGATGGGCAGGGGGACTCCATGGGAGAAGGTTTAGGGGTGATTGAAAGGGTCTCTCGCATGTTCCCAGCACGTCCTGTTTGTGTTTACCCATCCTTGTGAGATGCTGAGGGTTTTGAGATGTTTCCATGAAAAGCATGGAAGCTCCAAGCCTGTGGGGATGAGTTCCCAGGTGGAATTCTGCCCCTCTGAGCAGTTCCAGGGATGTGGGGCTGTGTTCCCAGGTGGAATTCTGCCCCTCTGAGCAGTTCCAAACCTGTGGGAATGTGTTCCCAAGTGGAATATTGCCCCTGCCACCATCTCCATGGCTCTGGGCTGTGTTCCCAAGTGGAATACTGTTCTTGCTGCTAGTTCCAAACCTGTGGGGATGAGTTCCCAGGTGGAACACTGCCCCTCTGAGCAGCTCCAAGCCTGCAGGGCTGTGTTCCCAGATGGAATTCTGCCCCTGCCACCATCTCCATGGCTCTGGGCTGTGTTCCCAGATGGAATTCTGCCCCTGTGAGCAGTTCCAAGTCTGTGGGGATGAGTTCCCAGGTGGAATATCATCCCTCCTGCAAGTTCCAAGCTTGTAGGGATGAGTTCCCAGGTGGAATTCTGCCCCTATGAGCAGCTCCAAGCCTGCAGGGCTGTGTTCCCAGGTGGAATTCTGTCCCTGTGAGCAGCTCCAGACCTGTGGGGATGAGTTCCCAGATGGAATTCTGCCCCTGTGAGCAGCTCCAAGCCTGTGGGAATGTGTTCCCAAGTGGAATACTGTTCTTGCTGCTAGTTCCAAGCCTGCAGGGATGAGTTCCCAGGTGGAATTCTGCCCCTGTGAGCAGTTCCAAGCCTGTGGGGATGAGTTCCCAGGTGGAATATCATTCTTCCTGCAAGTTCCAAGCTTGTAGGGATGAGTTCCCAGGTGGAATTCTGCCCCTATGAGCAGTTCCAGAGCTCTGGGCTGTGTTCCCAGATGGAATTCTGCCCCTATGAGCAGCTCCAAGCCTGTGGGGATGTATTCCCAGGTGGAATTCTGCCCCTCACACCATCTCCAAGCCTGCAGGGATGAGTTCCCAGATGGAATTCTGTCCCTATGAGCAGCTCCAAGCCTGCAGGGNTCCCAAAATATTCACTCTTCCCAAACCCATCCATCCTTTCCCAAACCCCTTCATCATTCCCAAAATCTTCCCCTTTCCCAAACCCCTTCACCCTTTTCGAAATCCCATCCCCTTTCCCAAACCCTTTCACCCTTTCCCAAAATTTCACCCTTTTCCAAGTCCCATCACCTTTCCCAAACTCCTTCACCCTTCCCCAAAATCTTCACCCCTTCCCGAACTCCTTCACTTTTCCCAAAATCTTCCCCTTCCCCAAACTCCTTCACCCTTCCCAATCTTCTTTCCCAAATTCCTTCACTTTTCTCAAAATCTTCTTTCCCAAACCCTTTCACCTTTCCTAAAATCTCACCCTTTTCCAAATCTTATCACCTTTCCCAAAATCTCCCCCTTTCCCAAACCCCCTCCACCTCTCCCAATCCCTTTCACCCTTTCCCAAAATATTCACTCTTCCCAAACCCATCCATCCTTTCCCAAACCCCTTCATTATTCCCAAAATCTTCTCCTTTCCCAAACCCCTTCACCCTTTTCCAAGTCCCATCACCTTTCCCAAACCCTTTCACCCTTTCCCAAAATCTCACCCTTTTCCAAGTCCCATCACCTTTCCCAAAATCTTCACCCCTTCCCAAACCACCTCCACCCTTCCCAAACCTCATTCACTCTTTCCAAAATCTTCACCCCTTCCCGAATTCCTTCACTTTTCCCAAAATCTTCCCCTTCCCCAAACCCCTTCACCCTTCCCAATCTTCTTTCCCAAATCCCTTCACTTTTCCCAAAATCTTCCCCTTTCCCAAACCCCTTCACCCTTTTCGAAATCCCATCCCCTTTCCCAAACACTTTCACCCTTTCCCAAAATCTCACCCTTTTCCAAGTCCCATCACCTTTCCCAAAATCTTCACCCCTTCCCAAACCTCATTCACTCTTTCCAAAATTTTCATTTTCACCCCTTTCCAAACCCCTTCCCCTTTCCCAAACTCCTTCACCCTTCCCCAAAATCTTCACCCCTTCCCAAATTCCTTCACTTTTCTCAAAATCTTCCCCTTCCCAAATCCTTTCACCCTTTCCCAAACCTTTCACCTTTCCTAAAATCTCACCCTTTTCCAAATCCCATCACCTTTCCCAAACTCCTTCACCCTTCCCCAAAATCTTCACCCCTTCCAAATTCCTTCACTATTCCCAAAATCTTCCCCTTCCCCAAACCACCTCCACCCTTCCCAAACCCCCTTTCTTCACCCCTTCCTAAACTCCTTCACTTTTCCCAAAATTTTCCCCTTTCCCAGACTCTTCTCTGGAAAAAATCCCCCCAGTGAAAGAAGGAGCTCCCTCATTAGTGTCAAACCCTTAATGAGCTTTTGCTCCTAAGAATGCTGAGCAAATCCAAATTATTGACCAGAAATGANCCCCGCGCCGGGCTCGGCGGCTCCGCAACTTTGCCTTTGTTGAGGGAACATCCTCCGCTCTCCACGTTCCCCCCCTCATCCTCGGGATCCACTCCCATCTCTCCCCAGATTCCCCCTTTATTCTCCTCTTCCTAAAATCCCCCAAACTCCCCTTCCATCTCCTCCTTGCCGGGATCTTCTCCCCTTCCCTTCGCCGGGACCGTGAGGGGGTGCTGGGGGTCGTGGCTTTGCTGGGAGGGGGGGAAAAAAAAAAACCCTTAAAAAACTGCCTTTAAACCTCCGTGCTGAGCTGGAACGGGGAAAGGGCTCCAAAACGAGGAAATTCGGTGCGGGTTTGTGTTTATATAGGAAAAAAAACAAGCTTAAAAAGCCGTGCGTTTGTGTCCCCAAGAGGGGGGAAGAGCTGAACTTAATCCGGGGGAGGGCTTGGCAGCGAAACTGCTCCAAAATCCCCTTTTTTAAACCTCCAAGGGGATCCCCCTTTGGCACGATCACGGATCAGGGATAACCGAGCCCTTTAAAACGGGAATCCAGCGTAATTTTAGGAAAAAAAATCTCCCGTTAATCGCTTTACACGTAGGGAACGAGCCTGATCCTTGTGTCAGGGCAGCTGCGGGTGGAACGGCGTGGGGAGAGCATCCCGTTATCCCGAAATGCTGGAGCTGGGAAAGTGGGAAGTTTTCTTCACTTTGTGGAGTTTTGTTTTTTTTTTTTGCTGTAGTTTTTAGTCAGGCTGAGCTCGTCTGGTGTGAAACGAGGCGAAATTTGGTCCTTTCACGCTTTGCTGCCTCCGGGAAGATGCTCCCGGAGCCCAGGGATGGAGGTGGAGATCCCAGGGAAAACCGATGGATTTTTCCTGGAGTTTTCAGGCGTTTTTGGGAGGAGAAAAAAACCAGAAAGCAGCAGATTAAAAGGATGATTTGTAGGGCTGGAAGCAAAATAAAAATGAAGTGTTGTGGAGGGGGCTGAGAGCTGAGGAAATGTGGCTGGGATGTGGGAATGAGGATGGGAGGGGATAAACGAGTGGAATTGTGAATTAAAAACTCCCTGTGGATGCGAGCAGTGTGGATTAAATTCGGATTAAATGAAGTGTTGGGAGCTGCCCCGTGTGGAATTTTCACCAAAATTTGGCTGCTCTGCCCTGGGGGGGCTCCTGTGCTTTATGCAGGGTCACAGAGGTTGGGTGATGTTTTAAAAACCCAAAAAGGAGAAGGCAACAGAATCGTTTGCTGTTTTATTTGGTGTTTTTAATCGCTGGGTGCAGATATTTGGGAGGGATGTGCCAAGTGTGAGCAGCATTTGATGTCTCTGTGCTTTCAGCAAACCATAAATGTGCATTTATCCCTCCCCTGATCATTCTCCCAGCTGACTCCAAGTGGAAAAGGATGTTTTGAAGTTGGCAGATTCTTTTTTTTTTCCAGCGTGGAATAATTCCTGGTTTTGTGCAGCCTGGGTTGGTTACATGAGAATTTTGCTTGTTCAGGAGCAAAGCTTGGACAATAGTCACACATGCAACGGGTTAGGGGCTTAGAAAAGAGCCAAAAAATCCCAAAGTGGGGAAATTTTTTGGGGCTGTTTTGTGGCCAAGGATTGTTAGGGAGGAATCTCTTGCTGCAATTCCTGCTGAGATCCCAGCTCCATGTGGTGCAGGGCTGTGAGGATGCAGGAATTTGGGTTGGGAAGGGAGCGCTGACAATTACACAGTAAGGACAGAAAAAAAAAAGCACATTCAGGTTCTGGGTGTCTTTATTTATTTTATTTTATTATTATATTTCTTGTGGCTGCTGCAGCTCTGCCCACATCACAGGTCACTCTGCTCAGTGCTGAACACACTCACTTGTTAATTATTATTTTTGAGCAGCCCTGTGTTGTCTCAGCACCTCTGGACACGTGACAAGAAGCACTTGCTCAGCACCAAAAGTGGTTTATTCACTATAAAGGACTGAAAATGCCTTTTAGATCCTGGTTTTCTTGGCCTTTTTTTCCCCCTCCTCTTCTGTTTTTATACTGAAATGTCACAGGGACTCATAAAATGAAATTTAGTGAGAAGATGTTAACCCTCAACCCTCAGAAGATGTTAATGGATTGATTTAGAATAGTTAACAAATGGAAATAATTCAAAATTATACAAAATTATACAAAAATTATAAAATAATTATATACATTATAATTATATATATTATTATATATATTACATATATATTATTATATACAAAATAATACAAAATTCTAAAAATTCCACCAAAATTCAGCTGTTGGTAATTGTGGATTCCTTCCTGGGTGTTTTTAGCTTTGGGGAAGTGTGAAAGGTTTTCTCAAATTGACCTTAGCTCTGAGGCAAAACAAACCCAAGGGGTTTGGTTTAAAATTGTTATAAATAAACAGAGAAATAATGAATAAGTTTGCCTGTAAGTGGGAGCAGGGGTTGAGGTCAGGAGGAATGGGAAGGTGGGGTTGAAGTTTCAAAGATCTCCCCTCCAACCCTTTGTGTTGTGCAGGAATTCTCTCCGGTGAGAATGAGAACTTTTCTCACTTTGTTTAACGACATTTGTGGTTTTCAGCTTGAATATTTCATCAAGGCTTGGCTTTGTTGCTGGGGTTTTTATTTTGATTTTTATTTTTTTTTTCCCTTTGGGGAATGAAACTTTGGGAGATGTTTTTATCTCAGCAGCTTGATATTCATAAATCCTTCGCCTTTCCCAAACACCTTCACTTTTCCCAAACTCTTCATCTTTCCTAAAATCTTCACCTTTCCCAAAATCTTTACCCTTCCCAAACCCCCTTTCTTCACTGTTCCCAAACTCCTTTATTTTCCCCAAAATCTTCACCTTTCCCAAACCCCTTCACCTTTGCAAACTCATTCATTTTTCCCAAACCTCTTCCACCCTTCCCAATCCCTTTCAGCCTTTCCCAAAATCTTCCCTTTTCCCAAATCCCTTCATCCTTTCTCAAACCCCTCCACCTTTCCCAAAGCCTTCGCTGTTCCTCAACTCTTTCACCTTTTCCCAAACTCTTCACCCCTCCCAAAATCTTCTTCTTTCCCAAACCTGTCCATCCTTTCCCAAACCTTTCACCTTTCCCAAAATCTTCTCCTTTCCCAAACCCTTTTACCCTTCTTAAACCCCTCCACCCTTTCCCAAAATCTTCCCCCTTTCCTAAACCCCTTCATCTTTCCCAAAACCTTCACCCTTTCCCAAACCTTTCACCTTTCCCAAAATCTCACCCTTTTCCAAATCCCATCACCTTTCCCAAAATCTTCACCCCTTCCCAAAATCTTCGCGTTTCCCAAACCTTTCACTTTTCCCAAAATCTCCCCCTTTCCCAAACCCCCTCCATCTCTCCCAATCCCTTTCACCCTTTCCCAAAATATTCACTCTTCCCAAACCCATCCATCCTTTCCCAAACTCCTTCATCATT